AGAAAAGTAAAAAAAAATGCTGTTGCTATTGCTGTAGGTTTGTTCCTAAAGCAAAAGCAATTCCATTCTGAAAGCAACCCCTAACCAAGAAAGACTGGTAGTCTTTACATCTAAATTGTTGACCATAATATATTTTAAGAAAGAAGAAAAAGGTAGCCTGATCTACAATCTAGTTAAGGTGAAGGGAGTGTTGTTCTACACTCCCTGCTCTTGTATAATACTTTTAAGTTTCTGCTTGAGCTACAATTATTTGTCCATGTACAAAACAAGGTGAATAGATTGGACTGTTCTGCTTTTGTGTCTCTAAAGATTAAAACAGAAAAACAATCAATATCCAAGCCTGAGCTGGTGACATTGTCCCAATCTATTCAACAGACCTGAGTCTTGACCCTTCTGCTGTCATGGTGTTTGCCATTATTCATTTGCACATGTCTTCGCAAATGAAGGTCTTGTCACAACAAATGGAACATTTCCAAATGAACATTTTGTTCCCAATGCAATTTACAATTTAAAAGCCCCTTGGCCCATTTTTTTCTGTGGAACAAGGAGGCCTTAAAATCTGTTCCTAGAAACAAGAGAAGGAGCACATATGCATCAAGAGAGAAAAGGAACACTGTAAACGCAACACAGGAAATGAAACAAACAAGGCAGAGGCTGTCTGGAAGTCTGTCCGGTAAGCATGATACAGAGCATGTACAAGGGAATACCAGACAGGAAGACTGTTGGATGCAGCAATAGGTTTCCCTTGGCTGCAATCACCCAACGGATAACTTACTCAACTCCAGCTCTGCCCATGCAGACCTAACACTTATTTGAGACTTGCCCATTTTTTTTCTCCTTCATTTCTTCATTTCTACTGTGTACTTGTTTGTAATAGTTTTGCACAGGTATTCTGAATGATGGGTGTTGTTACGCTTTGAACATGCTGATAATGGCTTACAGCAATGGGGACTGCTATATATTGCTCTCATTAGTTAAGAAATGCTCATCCAAGCCTGGCCAATTTAGTATTATTGCCAACCCAGTTCCAAGACTGTTCTAATAAAAGAATAGACTGAAGAGGTGATAGAAACGTTTTGGTTTCAGCTCTAATTGGAGAAAGATCCTTCCAGGAGGGACTGATGTAGGATTGACAAATGGGATGAAAGTCCATAAAGCATTTGAGTTGTTTTATCTATAAATGTATTGTGCACTCAGACTCAGGGGCGGCTTAACCCATTACTCAAAGTAAGCCTTTGCAGTATAGTTGATTTTGCCCAGCGGCGCTCTTCAGGCGCTCTTGGGGAAAAATAGACCTTGACATATGCGAGTTGTAGTTACTGGGATGTATAGTTCACCTACAATCAAAGAGCATTCTGAACTCAACCAATGATGGAATTGAACCAAATATGGCACACAGAACTCCCACGACAAACAGAAAATATATATCAGTGATTGGGGGGGGGGGGGGGCAAAATACTCTTTGCTTACCATTGAAAATTACCTAGGGCCGCCTCTGCTCAGATCTGACATTGTTTGTGTTATAGCTGGCAACTCTGTTATCTTAAATTAAGCTTATTTGCCTTATTTCATGACTGAGGTCCCTTCTACACTGCTTTATAAAATCCAAATTATCTGTTTAGAACTGGATTATATGGTAGTGTAGAAGGGGCCTTATTCGGTACTTGATATCTCCAGCCCCTTCCACAGTGCCCCTATATCCCAGGATCTGAACCCAGATTATCTGTTTATCCCAGATTATCTGGCAGTGGAGACTCATACAATCCAATTTAAAGCAGATAATTTGGGATCGGATCCTGGAATATAGGGCAGTGTAGAAGGGATTTCCTTTTCAAGAACTGAAGACAGCTGGTATCTTAAGAATGAATTCATTTCTCAAGGGTGAAAAATCTAGGGGATTCTAATAATTTTAGTCCAAAGGCTTTGTTTAGAAAGCCGAGTGTGATAGGCAAACAGTAGGCTTTTTGACAATTTAGGGATCTGATTTTGTTTTTTGCTAGCTCAAAACAGAGTAATAGAGGAAAAAAATGTAAAATTGTAGGAAGGATTCTTTTTTTTCTACTAAGATTTTTAGTGCACTAACATACGATTAAGCACCAGAATAGAATCAATGTAAGTCTAATAAATCTAACCAAAAAACAAAACAATTTCCGTCCAAATCAAATGCAGCCAATGTAATGAAAGCATACTTGAAGGAATAAGACTAATCATGGATGGAAGTGATACACAAGCAACTGAAGGCAGAAATGGGCAAGGTTTAGCCTTCAACATATTGCTGGTAGTGTAATTCTAATCTTGACTAGAACAGCTAAGAATGAGGGATAATGAGAGTTGTAATCCAGTACTTGGCACGAATACGCAATAAACCCAAATGTGGACACTGGTGGAGTCTGGGGAAAATAGACCTTGACATTTGGGAGTTATAGTTGTTGGGATTTAGAGTTCACCTACAATCAAAGAGCATTCTGAACAGCACCAACAATAAAATTGGGCCAAACTTTCCACACAGAACACCCATAACCAACAGAAAATACTGTGTTTTCTGATGGTCATGGGTGACTCCTCTGACACCCCTTTATGACTCCCCCAGGGGTCCCAACCCCCAGGTTGAGAAATGCTATTTTATTTGGACCAGTTAACATTTTTATAAAGCTAGGTTGCAAACCGACAATTACAATACAGGATGCCTCTTATGCTTTTTGCACATGTGTGTGTGTATATGGTGTTTCTTTTACCCTTGCCAGTATCCCATAGCTTTTGCATAAATAACCCATCTATCTTTGGAATTGCTTTTTGTATAAACTTGTGTAAACAACAACAACAAGAACAACACTCTTTCCTTTATTTTGTAGTTAAAAGATTGTATTTTGAATGCAGTACATTTAAAAAATGTAAAACATAATTTTGTACATAAAATATAATTTTTGCAGGGAAAGTGTATGGGTTTCTCATGATTTTTTTTAAACAAAGTGTCATTTTGTGCACAAAACTGCTGTTTCTAGACATGTTTTTTTTGCAAAGAAATCTGTTTTTTAATGTGGGGGAAGGGTAGTTAGATAAACCTATTGTTCAGCAAGGAAATGAATGATAATTACTATTCTTTCTATTGCTATTAAACCATGAAAAGTCATGAAGCAAAAAGGATGAGGGAGTAGAGTCAAAAGGAAACATAGATGCACAAGACCTAAATTTCCAACACAGTACAAATATCACAAAAGCTATTCTGTATGCATCCTGTGCCGGGATTTTCTGAGATAGATTTAGCCATGGTATGTAATGTCACCTCTTCCAGTCTTTCCTGTCTGAACAGCCTGGTATAAACAGGACCTAGTGACTTTGTTTCAGCCTCTGTCAAACAGCAAGTTATTTCTAACTGAGCTGTTTACAGTCCTTTCCCAGCTTACAAATAGTGAGCTATTTGCTGCCTGTCCAGTGGTTCTTCCTGGAGATCTGGATAGATTGTTTATCCACAAAGCAAACAAACTTTCAAAGGAGTCACACGCCTGGATACCAGGACATATTCTGCACAGTGAGACAGTCATTTTTTAAATGTTCTGTTTTGAAAGTTTTGCAATATTTCCTGTTTCTCCCTCTCTCTGGATATAATAAACAGATAAGAGAATTATTGCACTTACTTTGTAGCTCCTTTTCTAAAAGACAACCTACTGAGGCTACGGCAGGGCCAAGCAAAGTGCAACTGTGGAGGGGAGGACAAAATAAGAGTTCTCCCCAAAAATAGGAATTCTGCCTTTCATTATTTTTTCCTTCAGTCCCCAGATTTGTATCATTGTTTTAACATAAAATTTCATTTAGAAACATGATCTTGTAGGTATTTGGTATTGACTACAACAGAACTATTGCTACAATTGTAAATGCCCTCTCCAACCCATCTTAAAATCCAGCGAAAAGTTTCTGAGCAGCATGCTGAAGCAGGCATGTAGCCCAGGGGGGAGGGGGCTTGAGGGGCTTCACCCCCCCCCGAAATTTTCATGGTGGTTCGCGAAAAGGCCTTACTGGTGCATTATTTAAACTGTTATGTTTATTCATATCATGATCTGATCACCATACTCAATATATCCCATACGCATGGGGGTATTGGGGTAATGATACAAAAGGTTTGCTAGGGTAGACCCTCTTTCACTCAGACTCAGCCCCCCCCCCCCCGAAACTAAGCCCCCACCCGAAACCCGCCCTGAAAAAATTTAGCCCCCCCGAAACGAAATCCTGGCTACGGGCCTGTGCTGAAGGTTGACACATTCATCCCCACTTACCTACAAGTGGCAATGTAATGATTTCAGGAGTTGGATCGCTAGATGGATTATTACCACAACATCATAGCTATACATTTGAAGCAAGTTCTCAGCCAGAGTTTGAACATTCAGTGGGAAGGAACAGCCAAAGTTACCAAGGGACTGGGAACACAGTAAATATACAGTTCTAGGTTGAATGGTTTTCAGTGTTGCATTCTCTGCAATGCAGAAATTTTGAGAACCTAGTGAATATTTTATTGGGAGGTAGAATTCTTAATTAAAGGAGCAAATATATCATTTTGCTCCTACCTGTAACTACATGTTTGCACAGGAAAATGTATTTTTGAATCTGTCCAACCTAAGATGTATCATTCACCAATCTATCTGTGCTAAATTGGCACCAGGAGCAGAAAATCCCACCAACATGTATTCCTATTTCTGCTAATAAAAATGCAATACCACCAATGTAAAGAACATATTATTGGCTATCTATTCACAGCACTTAAAATTCTTCTGCCTGAAGCCACTGCATTGCTCACTCTGGTAGCCTTGGGTCTCCTGACCTGAAAGCCTTCTCCTCTGAACTCCAGATGGGTGGTATTTGGATTATTTATTTATTTATTTTATTAATCGAATTTATATACCACCACTCCCCAAAGGCTCGGAGTGGTTTACAACATACATATGCAATACATTACATTTAAAAACAAAGAAAAAATTCAATCAACCAGATTCAAATGCCAGAGGGGAAATGAATGCAAAAAGTACTTTGCACATGTTCAGAAGCCTAGTTCCTTATCAAAGGTTTAGACACATTCCAGGCTAAACCCTGGAGTTGAAAATAGATTCTGACTCTGTGCCCAGGTGACCTGGGTCTGAAAGTGGACCATGTGGTTGTCCCTTTTAGCCTGCCACTTGGGAAACAATTTGTTATTATGAGATAAAATCATAGCATGCTTTAAGAGGAATGAGAATGTAAGTTTATCCAGAGATCAAGCTAAGTAGAAACAGGAGCAGTGCCAAATTCCATGTGTTTGTTTTCACAGAATATGAATGAAGAATAGATAGATGTGATCCATTTGACCATGAGTTCAAAACTCTGGTGGGTCCAGAACCTTCTTTGCTACATCTGGATCACACAGCCTGCCAACATAGAGGGAAGAATAGTAAATAGTCAATTTTATTTGTAAGTATAACAACAAAAATAATAACAACAACTTGCTGCTTCTTGAAGCAGCTGTTGTTATGTGTCTTCAAATTGCTTCCTATCACATTTTTTGCTGGAGCTGAGAGTATGTAACTCATTCAAGATCATCCATTGGTTTTTCATGGAATCATAGTTCAATGCTCAGACTGAGTGAATAATTGAGGCTGTGCTCTTCAGACTTGAAGTCCAACACTCAAATTACTGCAATAAACTGGCTTTCCAATATCAATCATGCAAAGAAGGCATGACAGTCAGTGCCCTGAGGCCTCCAATGTAATAGACAAAACAAAAAAAAATTGGGGTTTAAGAAGAGGGAAAGGAAAGCCAGAAACTCATGTAACCTTGTGTGTCAAAGAAGGTGGCAGAAAGTAAGGCAAGTCTCAAATTCACTGTCTAAGAAACCTTTTGGAAACATGTTTGTGGTAACACTTTATTTCAGGTTGCTTTATATCATTTGCAAATGTTTTCAAGCCAAAGAACAATATATTGTATTTTACTAAGGGACTCTTAACTAATTTGGATTAAATACTCTGTAGATCATGAAGAATTGCAAAGGGAAGTGCAAGATGAATGGGGACCTCATCGGAAATCCCAGGCACAGCATCCAGCTTCTCCGGGCTTCTGCGAGAAAAGAGGGAGCAGCACGGTTAATCTGTCACCGTGTGCACTGCTCCCTGTCTGTGATGCTTTCCCCATGTTGGGGTGGAAGCATCCGACAATGTTTTCACCCTGGTTGGGAGCGAGACCTATGCTGGAACTCACATGACGTAGTGTGATGTCCAGCGTCGGTCTCCATTCCCCAGATGGGGTGAAAGCATCCTATGATGCTAAAACCATCTTGTCTGATTAGAGCAGTGGTTCTCAACCTGGGGTCCCCAGATGTTTTTGGTCTTCAACTCCCAGAAATCCTAACAGCTGGTAAACTGGCTGGGATTTCTGGGAGTTGTAGGCAAAAAAACAGGTTGAGAACCACTGGATTAGAGAGTAAATCTTGTCCTACTGGTTGCCAGGAGATAGGACTCACTTTTTTCTAGATTGTTCATTATATTCAGAATTATGTCTGTATTATTGCTGGATTTAAACAAAATTGGCTTGAATTCTGTTACATGTTGACTTACCATTTAATGGTAATCAGAGTTCAAATCTCTGTTTGACCATGGAAATCTACTGGGTGAGCATGGGCAAGCCATATTCTCTCAGCTTCATAGGAAGATAAAGGCAAACCCCCTCTAAGCAAATTCTCCCAAGAAAATTTCGTAATATGTTTGCCTTAGGGTTGTGACAAGTCAGAAATTACTTGATAACACACAGCAGCAACAATTAGTGTATTCTCCTTGGGTCTTTTCAATTATTAACTATTTCCCTAATAATCAACTGCTTCATTCTTCTACTATATTTGGGGAAACTGATGTATTTCATTTCTTTAACTCCTTTAAATTGGGTTTGGGTTTTTCCTGTCTTTTTGATGAACACTCACCGAGCTAGTCAGCCACACAGATTTATTTAAACCCTGCCTTTTCCCCAGATTAGTGCTCAAGACAACTTACAAAAGAGAAAATACAATGAAAACATGTAGATTTTTCATATGCACAAAAGTTAAGATTAAAGCAATATTAACTAACCACAGAACTAAACCTATTTAAAATAATAAAGAGATTTATTTAAAAGGTTGAAAGATTAAGAACACAACAGCACCATAACATACTTCTCTTAACAACATTTAATTCCTGGAGATTTGCTGAAATAGTGGCTTCACATGTCACCAAAAAGACAGCAAAAGAAAAGCCATCCTAACATCCCTTTGCCCCTGGTCAACCTAAGTTGGAGAAAAGCCTGAATCCTGCCCCTGGATTTGGGTTGTCCCCCAACTTAGGTTGTCCCCCAAGTGGAACCAGCCACAACTGTCTTGAATGCCATCCCACATTCCCTGGGCTCATCTAGTGGCCTGTGGACATGAAATGGCAGTTCCCTGTTGTCCTTCTCTTCCCACGTTGGGGCAGAGTACCACCATGTTCAGGGTGATAGGGGCAAGGGGACCTTTCTCCTCATACCCATCCCATTCAGTATGATGGTGCTCTGGCTGACGTCAGACAGAGCTTCAAGGACGAATAGGTGCCATGTTGCAGCTGGGAACTGAAATGACATGAGAAGTTATTGGGGGGGGGGGGGGGGCTAACCAGCCATGATAAACCATGTTTAGCATAGCTGAGGGAGTATCAATCAATGTGGCTGAGGGAATCTCCATTAAAACTTAATGAGGGGCTGATCTAGAATCTTGGAGGTCAGATTGGGCTGATGCCAATGGTCTGTGTAGAAGGGTCCTAGGAGGAGTGTAGGGAAGGCCCTCTCATGCATTTCCAACAAAAGTATCTGTGAAAGTGATGGTACACAGAGAAGTGCCAGTGCTCTGCTACATCATGCTTCCTCATTGGCAGGTTCACATTCAAAGATACAACCCTTTAGATAGCCTGGAGCTAGCTATATAAGGCTTTATAGGTCATGAGCAGCACATTGAATTCTGGCTAGGAACAAGCTGTTGCAACAAAGGAGTTCAACAGACTCTGTACCAGCACTCCTTCGGGATCTGGCCGCAGCTCTATATATACAAACATCCTGATTGGCTGTTTTGAATTAAACTGTTGTCTCTAATTTTGCTTCACTGGATTTCTTTTACTGCTTTTCTGTAAAATTATCACTAAAATAGCTAATTGAAATGGTGTGGGTTAGCTGCCTTCTTAAAATACAATAAAAATAAAACATAATGTCTTCCCCATAAAGTCACGGCTGTTCTGCTGTTGTATGTTGTCTATAAAAAATGTAAATTTGAAAATCTGTCCTAGTGCAAAATACAGTTCTGCCAGTCCCCTGGCAGAATTATTGGTGCCGCACTGTGGAAAGATGTCTTATGCTGATGCTGAAAGTCTGCTGTCTGGGCTGCTGTTCAATGACAAAGAATGCTCAGCGTCGGCTTAGACAGGGATCTTCCCAGAGAGAGAGCTGCGAGCTGTGTGCAATTGATGTTAATCCATGCTTGTAAAGCTTGGTGAATCCTCGGCCAAGATCAAAGAGGCAGCAAAACGGAGGGTCAAGGCATAGGCCCTGGGAGTATTTCATTTCTCCACCCCCTCACACTCACTTGGGAAGTCTGGTTTGTCTTCTGTGCCTTTGAAGTTATAACACTATTGATTCTCCGGCTTTTCTGATCATAGGCCGCCCTTTGCCATCTTCCTCTGCTGCTTTTCTTTGTATGTGCATGTGTCTTCAAGCCTTGCATTGACTTATGGTAACCTCATGGATTTCAAAGGGTATTCTTAAGCAAGGAATACTCATAGATGGTTGGTTCCTTCCTCTGAGATGTAACCTAATAGCTTCCCTTCACAGTACTAAATAATGGGAATAAGAATTACGGTTGTTTAAGGCTGCCAAGGACAACCTCATGAAGGTGGTAAAATGTTCTTCCTGTAAACAACGGGCTGCATCCAGACTCCAACAGTGAAAGTGTGTGAGTGGGAGATCTGTGCATGTGAACTGCAAATGGCATTCCCAGGTGTCCTACTTTATATGCGATGTCGTGCATTTGAGGGCTTAAGTTTTGGCCCTCTGTGGTGGCCATACAGGATCTACCAAGTTCTATATTTCTTGACCAGGTGCAGTATCACCCAGCCGGCACAGATTCCCAAGGTCCTTTTCATACATAGCAGTGCTGTGTAGCAGTATGTTAGCTACACATCCCAGTACAGTATCATCTGTAAATTTGATAAGAATTCCTTCCCCTCCATGATCAAAATCATTGATTTTTTTGTGTTTTGTGTTATTATTCAAAATTAAAGATAAATGCGAAATATTTCATCAGTGTAAGTCTTTCTGTATCTCTTTATTTCTCCTCATCCCAAACTGCCCCATTTTGGCATAGTAGGGTATATATTCAAATTGCAGGAAAAGACAGTTCACCTAAACATTAGGAAGAACTTCCCAAAGGCAAGAGCTATTGGAAAGTGTAATACACTGCCTTGGTGGAGTCTCCTTCTCTGTAGGTTTTTAAGCAGAGGCTGGATGGCTTCTGATGGGGGTGAATTGATTGTGTGTTCCTTCATGGCAAGAAGTTGGACTAGATAGCACTTTTCCAATTCTGTGATTTTAAGTATGATCCCAGAGGGAAATTGTCTTGTTTAGCAGAGTAAGAAGAGGTCATCACTGGAAGGATGGCCACCAAGCATCAAATTCACCATAGAAATTACAAATCAAAGAGTTGAGAGCTTCATAGTTGATAGGCAACTCACACTGATGAAATCATAGATATTTAAAATCAAGATATATGTACATTTTGGGGTGCATCATGTTGTACTTGAAGCAGGAGATCCCCAAAGGTACTACTCTCTGGAGTAAATGAACAAATCAGCATTAGGAAAATTGACTTGACTTTATTTTAGATGTTAAGCATCTGGAAAATTTTCTGCAATTTGGGTGGTCTTTTGGGGGAATATGGTACAAGAAATAAAGAAAAGAAGCAGGCAAGGTTTCAGCACCTAAGTCTTCCCTATCTAATGACAGGTTGTTGGCAGTCGCCTACTTGCTTGAAGGATAACAGCCTCACAGTTTTCTCATCTCTGTTCATTTCTGCTGTAGATTCTATAAAAAATCAAGGGTTATTAAAGCAATTTTACCAGGATGCAGAAACATTTATGAGCTCATAGAGTAGGACATTTAGAACTTCTCATTACATGTAGACACAAGAACTAAGAGACAAGATCTAAGCCAATAGATAAAAACAGGACCACCACTTTAAATAATAATAATAAAATAGAAGGAGCAGTTCAGAATCTGCTCTCATTGCCTCATATTTGCGAAACCTGGTTCAGAGCCCCAAAGTAGTTGGTAGTTCTGTAATCAGCTTCCCATTGCCACGACTTAAAAGAGTTACTTATTTTGGATTACAGTTCCCCAGATCTCTGGCCACCCGTATTTGAACAAACCACTGTTGGGTAGCTACTAAGGGGATTCAGGGAGTTGTAGTCCAACAAAATAAACTTTTCCAAGCATGGTGCATACCTTATGTGGAGCCCTACCCTCATTACATTCAGATGTTATGTGATGTCAGCTTCCGCAAGAACCACGGGTTTGGAGCCTGGCATGTCTAACATTCCAGAAGGCCAGATGAGACACAGACAGGTTGAAAGCAAAATCAGAAGCTTTATTCTAAATAGCCAGAGAGGATGTCAGTGGAGACAGCACTCCAAAGAACTAACATACCACAATGGTGAATATATGGCATATTTATTGCATTTTGACAGCTATTTAAGAGTCCCACGCTAGCTTGTGATTGATTCAGAAAGGGTCCAGCTAGGATTCATTTTCTGGTTGATCCGGGATTCTCTCAAACATCATTGTGGTTTGTCACCACTGTGGTGGAAAACTTTAATAAACTGTTAGTGGATTATTCAAAGCTTGTGTCCATTTATTACTCCCTCCCTGAGAAGGGCATGACGAGGGAGGAATGCGGTGGAGCAAGTGATAATGGGCTGAAATGGGTTTTGATATCTCAGCTTTGCTCAATAAAATGGGTGACAGTCCAGAGGAAGAAAAGCTGCTTAGGATCTTGGTCATTTTAATAGAAACCCCAGAGAGAGATCTGGTTTGGGGTCAAGGATAAGAAAGGATTCCCAGATATAAATCTGATCATATCAAGTAGAAACAGAAAGAGACTCTGAGGCTTTTGTACAAACCCACTGTATGATCTCTAAGTCTTCCCCAGGCATTGTGAGGGAATTAGAATAATTACAATATTATATCTTGAAGACTGAAGTGCAATGGGACAACAGTTCTGGGGAAATTCATGAAAAGGGTTACTACAGGACAAATGGGAATGTGATATGACTTGTGGTATGTCTGAATGAAGCTGTGGTTTATAATTTTGAGGTCCATTGTTCAGCAATGTAGACACATAGACCTCAGTTTCTGCTCATGTTTATTAGAAGCCCTGGAAACTGGCAGAATTTAATCTAGTGCTTCAGCAAGAAAAAAATTATTTGATGACAAAACCAGCCTTCTCCCTCCAAGTCTATGCAGATCATGGGCACATATACACTATAGAATTAGCTTAGCTTGCCACCAATAACTGTCATGGCTCAATACTATGGAATCATGGGAGTTTTAGAAAGTTTTAAGCTTCTCTGCCAAAGAATGCTAGTGCCTCACCAAACTACAACTCTCTGGATTCTATAGCATCAAGTCATGAGATGGCAGTTAAAGTGATGTCTCACTGCATTAATTATACAGTGTAGGTATACCCTAACTGGCATGGTTTTTATGCAAATTTGAATATACAGGGAGTAGACAAATTTGAATATGTTTTGCCTGAAGCTTCTTTGGTTGGCTTACTACCATCCAGACTAGAAAGAAAATTAAAAGAACATTGGAAAATGCTCTGTGGGCATGGCAGAACCAGATTGCTGTTCTATTTACGGTACTGGTCAAATGGGACTTATGGGTATGTGTGTGAATGAAACATGCTGGATTTTCTTCCCACGTGCAAAAAGAAATTGGTAGTTTTGGATACTATACACTTTGATTCAAATGAGTGGGTGATATCACTTGCTGGCTTTTCCTGAGGTAACAAAATGACACGTGCCAAGCCTGAACACTAGGGCTGGGCGGTTTCGTTTCATTAATTCGTAATTCGTTAATAATTCGTTAATTTTTTCAATTACAAAACGATAACGAACCATTCTGGAGCAATTATTAAAAAAAAACGAATTTTCAAAAACGTTTTGTAAATGCTTCGTATTTCGATATTGTATTCGTTTTGTTATTGTTTTGAGGTCGTTTCGTTATTATTTCCGCATGTCTGGGCCAGTTTTATGGTTTAATTAGTGAAAAAAAAATATAATATCACACCAACAGTCAACAACAGAGGGAGAGGGAAGCTTCAGAAGGTTTTGGAGGTTTTTTAGCGTATTTCGCGGTCGCGTCCGCCATTAACGAATCGATTCGTTATTGTTTCGGAAATCGATTCGTTAATTTTTTACCATTTACGAAATTTCGTAAATATCGAACTTTTAAAAGGAAAATTTTGTAATTATTTTAAATATCGAAACAAAAAAACCCCCCAAATACAAATCGATTTTAGAAACAAATTTTTCCGTTGTTACCCAGGCCTACTGAACACCCTCCAGACCAATTAAATTATCCCACCGCCTCCTATAATTCCCTCTGTGTCTTGGCAGGCTGTACTAACTCAAGCCACAGAACTGGAAAGCTTAGCCTTGGGTAATTTCCAGAATTGCCCAAAAGAGTCCAGGTCAGGCTGAGACAATCATTGTTTGCCTACTGAGAAACATCAAGATTCTTAGCAAAATAATAAACTATTCAATAAATTATATGCGTGATATTGGGGTTTGGTAAAGAAAGGAGGACTGTTATTTGCTATGGAGTCAGGAGCTATCAACATGTTCAGTACCTGTTCTGGTACGGCTGTACCAAGAGCTCCAATTTTATTTGCTTTGTATTGGGTGTTTGCTTGCAGTCCAAGGTTTCAGGGACTCTGCAGATAGGTGGCTTCCTTTGGTTGCAGTCATAGGGCAAGTCAACTGTCCATCATCATTAAGTTTTGGTTCCACCCCTTGCTCAGGGCAATTGGGGAGGGAAGGGAGCCATTTTTAGTTGGTCTCAGCAAGGAAAGCTAATGTACAGGACGTGTGCAAGCTTCCCCTGTACAAAAGCTTCAACCCTTAAGACTTTCCGGAGGGAAACAGTCTTAAGAGCCTCTAAGACTTTCCGGGGGAAAACAGTCTTAAGAGTCTCCAAAGATATCCAGGAAAGCAGCCCTAAAGACCAAAGAACTCCAGCTGGAGAATATCTAAATCTTTACTGGTAGGTCCACTCGGTGCTTCGAGATGCAGTTCGACCCGGTAGCGGAGCCCACATCAGTAAGGGTTAGATTACAGTCAGCCTGGGAGAAGTTAAAAAGGGGATTTTCATTTAAAGTAAAGAAGAAGTTATTGAAGACAGTTGCCTGTCCTTCGTGGGCAAGATTAGGAAGTCACCAGTTGCATAAAGCCTGGAAGCATTTGTTTAGCTTTATTGAAGACAAGAGAAGTTTCTGTTTGATTGTTCATTAATAAAGAACTTTGTTATACTTTACAAGCCATCTAAAGATCATTTGTGGTGGAAAACCTCTGAGAACTTCTCCTTGGGCCCCCTGGCTTCCCGCTGGGCAAAGGTTGCACATCCTGTTCTAAAGGAAATTCTTTACAGGCCCAGGGCGCAACAGAACAGTACCCATGCCAATGTATTGTGGGGTTTTTCAATTGAAGTACACAAAGTATGCAGATCCCACAGATAGCATACCATATTAGGCTTGAACCTGAAAGACCAGGATTCAGGTCCTCCCATGTATGGAAAACTGGTGAGCTTTGAGCAAGCCCTTTCCTCTAAAACTGAAGTATTTCATAGATTTGGCTTGGCATTGGCATATAGCAGCTGCCATGGGGAGCCCGCTGCTAATCTGGGGCCAACTTGACATTTTCCCCGTCAGTCATCTAGGCAGCTGTATAGGGAACTGTTCAGGAGAAGATTCAATTATAATTTTGCACAGTATTTTGGAGCAATGTTTTGTCACAAGTATAATAAGACGAGAAAATAGCAGCTCAAAGACTTACGTGCCTGGAGCTGATCAGTTCACTGCTGCCATCCACCCCAGTTGACACGGTGCTGAGATAAAAAGAAGTATGGAGTTGTTCTGAATACAGAATGAAATAAAGTTGCATATGGGGAGGAGGTAGCATGTGTGTATGTGTAAAAAGGGACTATTGTCCCCAATACGAATTCTGCCCTCCTCAATAGGTATCCAAAGAAAAGGGGCCAAGAGAATGGGAACACAACAAATATAAGAGTTTTAGGTGTGAATGGTTTTCAGAGTCTTTTGCTTTCAATACTACAGATTTAAGAGGAAAGAGAATTTCATGGTGAGATTCATATTTGGAGGACGAATGACATCAACCCCCCCCCCCTCCATGTAGCTACACCATTGATTGTATATGCATCACTCTGCCCTACTTATGGAAATTGGTGAGTACACAGACACCAAATACATAAAGAACCACTAAATGATGCAAAAAATTAGGAATATCCTGTATTTCTTGATCAATAATATTTAACTTTAAGATCAAGAGTGCAATCTTAAGAATCAGGAAGAATCTTTCAAGAGGCTATAGGAAGAAGGGGATCTATTTCTCCATGTCATTGAATAAGCCCTTGATTACAGAGGAGGAGATCTGACCTTGCTTTCACTATTCCTGGCCTCTTTCTCTCTGGTTAGAATTTTTGTGCTGGTCCCAAAACACTCTCGGCCCCTTATAAGCCATCCCTCAAGAGATACATTTAGAACTATCTCTTTTAAGAGTTGGAGAAGGTGAATGGGAGACAAGAGGGCTATTTTACTCCAATCAACACAATTTAAGATAATATACAATGGCCCCTCAGTATCCACTAGGGTTTGCTTCCAGGACACATCCACAGACTGTGGATATCCAAATCAATGGATGCTCAAGTCTTATTATATACAAAGGCATAATAAAATAGTGTGCCTTATCTAAAATTCAGAGTGCAGGCTCTGGCCTATAAAGCCCTAAACCAGGGGTCCTCAAACTAAGGCCTGGGGGAAGGATAGGGCCCTCCAAGGTCATTTACCTGGCCCTCGCTCAGGGTCAACCTAAGTCTGAAATGACTTGAAAGCACACAACAACAACAATCCTATCTCATCAGCCAAAAGCAGGCCCACACTTCCAATTGAAATACTAATAAGTTTATATTTGTTAAAATTGTTCATTTTAATTGTTGTATTGCATTTAAGTGTTTTTTGCATCACAAATAAGATATGTGCAGTGTGCATAGGAATTCATTCATGTTTTTTCAAACTATAATCTGGCTCACCACAGTTTGAGGGACTGTGACCTGGCCCTCTGTTTAAAAAGTTTAAGAACCCCTGCCCTAAACGGTCCTGACCCCATTTTCCTGTCCGAACGCATCTCCCTTTACGAACCACCACGAAAACGAAGATCTTCTGGAGAGGCCCTGCTCTCGTTCCTGTCACAGGCACATTTGGCGGGGACAAGAGACAGGGCCTTCTCAATGATTGCCCCCCTGCTATGGAACTCCCTTCCTGGCAATATTAAATCAGCCCCCTTCCTCCTATCCTTCAGAAGGATGGTGAAGACCTGACGGTGGGATCCAGTCTTTGGGGAAGTGCAATGAGCCAATAATAGAATGGTGTCCTGAGATTGTTTTTAAGCAACTGATTTTAAAGTGGATATAAGTGATTTTAATGTTTGTGCATATTTATGGTTTTATGTCCCAGCATTGAATGTTTGCCGTATATATGTTGTGCTCCACCCTGAGTCCCCTGCAGGGTGAAAAGGGTATTTTATTTATTTAAAACATATAAATGTTTTAAATAAATAAATAAAATGACAAAAAACAAGGTTTTCTTTTGGTTTCGTTGTAGTTGTTGAATGTGTGGCTGCAGAATCTGCAGATATGGAGAAAGCTTAGAAGAAAGACATCAAATGAGGACCAAAAGAATCCAGCAAGATTAGCAATATGATTAAAACTCAGAAATTTGGGTTTTTGGTTTTTTTGCTCAGGATTCCCACAGAATTGTCTTGTTTAAATAACCTCCAGCTGGTTGCTAAGGCGCTGGTCAAAGCCACCTTGTTTGCTCTGGTCTTGACGTCAATGATTTCCTCTTCTTTCTTCATTTTCACATTGATTTTGTGAATGATCAACTCAATGTGTTTCCCTGGCAGAACCCTACCTCAAAACACACATGCTCTTAAAACATGTTTTCTGATTATATTTGGGAATAAAGCAATCTAAAAGACTACGTTTCATTTTCCCCTGTTGCTCCTATCAAGCTAGACTTTTGCAATACTTGTGGTCTCCTTCTCTTCATTGCCTAAGTGATCGATGATTTTTTTTTATCATGTCAGGAGTGACTTGAGAAACTGCAAGTCGCTTCTGGTGTGAGAGAACTGGCCGTCTGCAAAGACATTGCCCAGGGGATGCCCAGATGATTTGATGTTTTTATCATGCTTGGGAGGCTTCTCTCATGTCCACGCACGAGGAGCTGGAGCTGATAGAGGGAGCTCATTTGCCTCTCCCCGGATTTGAACCTGTGACCTGTCGGTCTTCAGTCCTCCTGGCACATGGGTTTAACCCACTGCTCCACCACTAGGAAGCCGGCAAAAGCATCAAAGACAAAAGCATCAATGAAATAAATATATCCCCATCAGTAACCCCTTGGCCTTGGCCAATCTGTAATGTCCTCCCAACATCAGTCTGCAGTGAGGTTCCAGTTAGGCAAAATTGGTAGCATTTTTATAGCCATCCCAATTAATTAACTGTTTTGTTTTCCTTGAGTATCTTACCATCCAGGTGTGTGAATAGTAAACAGTTTTGCACCATCTAGTTAGTTAAATCAAAACATGATAAGCCCAATGATTGGACAGCAGCCAAGTGAGTAGATGGCAGCCAAACTTACTAATGGGGACTATCCTCCTGCACTCCAAGGCTATACTCCTCTAATTAGTTCTGACCTTGAAAATATTCAGTAACTGTGTCCTTAAATAAAAAATTAGGTAGAAATGGATAGAACAATTGTGGCACACCACTTATCTCTTCAATGGGAAAAGGCCTTCTACAATCATACATATGCAGTAATAGGATAGGTACAGAGACCCTGAGAGTAGACAATGGTCTCACAGAAGTTGCAAGAATGGTAGCAGCTCTAGAGTAGCCCTACCAATAGTCCAGCCACCCTGGAGCCATACAAGAGCATGTCAGTAGGCAAGACAGGAGTCATCTTAAGCCATCATAAGGAAGTAGATGTAAAGGAGGGGAAGACTGAGCATCCACTGGCTTCCCTAATAAGTAAAACACTAAAATAATTCTGCTTGAATTTTGGGTGAGGACAGCAAAACGATTTTGGTGCAGCATAGTGAAGATAGTATGAATCCAGGACAGCTCCAGAACTGAATAATCTGAATCACAGCAGAATTATTTAGATGGTGTAGGTAAATCCTAAGAAAGCTCTATGAAACTTATGGGTTTGCTTTAAGTTGACAAAAGACTTGAAGGCACATGCATACCTATTGGTTTGGCCTCATCCCAGAGATGCATCTACTCAACGTGATACACATCATACAATGGGTCTCCTTTAATCTTTGAGAAGAATTTTTTTAGAGGGAAGGGCTGAGCTACATGAAAAAGGGAAAAGAAAGATATACTGCCTTCCATCAAGCCAAAGCCATTCATGAATGGCAGAAAATTACTTTAGATGGAAAGGAATGGGTCTTCTTGTTTTTCTACCCTCTTTAGGATTAAAAAAATTACAATGTTGTCAAATATCCTGCTTAAGTACTCAAATATCCTGCTTAAGTACTCAAATATCCTGCTTAAGTACTCAAAATGTGTGCCAGGTGAATCACATTCTGGGTTAGTGGCATAAATTGTGCAGGCTTGCCCTAAATTGAAAGCAACCACGAGGGGTGGGGAGTTAAGGCATTGGAGAGCATTCTGAATGAATCTGAACTTCCACTAATTTAAGCACTAGGTGGAAATGCTGAGATTTCTAAAGCCTCCCCATTAATACTGAGGAAATTAAGGAGACTCCCTATTATGATCTCTTTGGAATGCCAGGCATTCATTATGAAGTTCTCCAAGGGATCAAGGATGAATTTAAGTTATTCGTTATTACATGGTGTGCTTTCTGAAACTCTCTGTGCTTTGACGCACACACCACTGAAAGTATACAGGGTCATCAGAATAATTTGTAATCTTGTCCATTAAGATAATCCATGGGCTGAGGATTCAAGAGTATTTCCCTTTATGAAGTTATAGTTGAGCAATAAATAACATTCTTGGTAGTAAGGTTCATTTAAGAAAAAGGGCGGCAGTGGGCGGGGTGGGGGTATTTTTTTCTCAGTGCCATAAAGATCGGCTTGTTATATAGGGAACTTTTGACACTTTCCTAGAAAGAAAAGGGGAGAAAACTAAAAATCCTGCAATATTTTAATACTCCATTGTGAGTTCTGAATAGTTGACCTATCAAAGTGTTGTGGCCTTTGGACTTGCACTAAATCTGCAGTTCAGAGTGAGAAAGTGAATCAGAGCTTGGAAAAGTGCCCAGAATTTACATATTGGCTGATGAATGATGAGCAAAGTATAAATAAGTTTTACAAGTTTTGAAAATGATTCCTTTAGCATATTGGAACAAAAAAATCAGTTTGGCTTTGATAGGATTGAAGCTGGCAGTGGCTGGCCAAGGAAAAGATCTTCAGGCTGTGGTAGATAGCTCAGTGTTGTCTCAGTGTGCAAATGCAATTGGGTGGTCTGAGGGGAGCAAATTTCAACAGAAAAAGGTTAAAAAATGTTTCCAGTGCCATAACATTCAAACTTCTACATAAAGTTGTAGTCATCACACCCAACAAGAACAGTTGAAATACTATTCAGCAGTTATGAATATGCAGCTACCATAATTACAAAGCTATGAGGTTAATTCTGCCTTTCCCCATCCCCACTTATCAAGAGGCAGCTGCTGTGACTGATAGAAATCTGTTCTCCTGTCATTGGGAATAAGTGATGTTAACAGTATGTCCTATGAGCAATCTCCAGTGCAACAGGCAGTAGCAATTCCCCTCTTGATACAGATCACT